GGGTAAGAAGGAGTAACTGCATATACAATGTGTCTAGCAGATGAAGCCTAAGTAACCACCTGTGTCAAAGCACTTGAGTATCCTTTTAAAAATGTCAAGTGACTAAGAGTTTCCTTACAAGTTAAAGGGCCAATCTCTTAATTCTGACGCCTTATGTCAAAGGAACGAGCACCTGCCGAGTAGTTCCACTCTGGTGATCTTAACACTAGCGGTATGGGACCAAACTGTCTATCACCGACACATTTATTTCAAGAAAGCCAGTAGCTCTCATTTGATGAAAGGAAATAAAGCTGTTGAAACAGCATACAGCTTTTAAAAAGGTGATTTCATTACTTCCTAAATAGCAGATTCAACGCTAATCCATTCTCTGTCGAGAATGTTTTCCATGCTCTAGACAGAGCTGAGTTGAACTGGCCTATTAAACGAAGTACCATAGGGACCACACTAGTTCCGAGATGCTTGCCTCCACTTGAAAGCATTCAATCTCGGGCAACACTTGCTTAAGTTTGTTTATAAGTGCTCAAAAGCATAAAATTAGCAGTCAAACTATCATTGAAGGCTATTTTTTTACTGGACAACTAATCAAGTGTGCTTTAAGTGCAGTTGAATTTTCGGCAGCATCGATGAGGACCATCACGTCACTTTCCAGAGGAGAGTGGCTAAATGAGTAGTTTTGATCCCTTTTACAGGCAACGCAATACCATTTTTAGGCTATCGAGCAACCTTTTTTTGTTTGCAATTATGTCTTTGTATTCAATGCATTGAATGCACTGCTCAGAGGATGCTCCATTATCTGTACTGTGGTAAAGTCCTAAATGGAATACTATAGCTAGTAGGAATCTGATATAGCTTATAAAATGCGGAGCCAGCATTCAGTTCTACATCTGTCCACTTTTGAAAGGATTTGACCATTGAGGTTAGTGAACTTAATCCGCGTTCATCGAGCCACCACACCCTGGGACGCTGCTGCTCGCCACCACAGAAAATCCTCTTCGGCAAATCATAGAACCACAAAGAAACTGAAGTAAAAATCTTAATTTGGAAACATTGATCGCCTTCAGGGTGACAGATCTCATCACCAAAAAGAAATGCTTGGAGCAGGGTCAGCATTGGGCATTTTATCGCCTCTTTTTATGTCTAAAATATGGAGGGCAATCTTTCTTGCTTCCTGACGCATGCCAACATGGAAAGGCCCAAGAGGCAACAAAGTTGTGCTCAAATTTAAGTTAGCTTTTAAGCCCTCATTGGGCTCCACGTTCTTTTTAGCAATACAGAGCCATTATAGAAAAGCATTTCAGTCTGGTGAAAAGAAACCTCGAGATTGTTGGCTTTCGCTTAAATGCTTGTTTTTTGAATGTCTTCCATTCCTTATTGTCTTTAAACTGACATCAGTTTCATTATTAAAGTTGTCAGTTTTCGACGAGTTTATCATTGCGAGTGAATAAGAGGTGCTTAAAGTTATTACTCAGAAATGGAAGTAAAAGTGTGGTATTTGGATCGTATAGGCTTTCTCCAGTGTCTTCAATCTTCTCTACAATTTCCAATTAAAAGTTAGGTACATTTTATATTAGCTAGTTATTACCTTTTGCGCATCGCTAGTTGTCTAGGCACGATTTACCATGAAATCGGCAGCTCAACCATTTCCTTGGTTAGTGAATTCGATGAACGACTGTAAGAGCATCAAGTCTACCACACACGACCTTTTGGTTACCGTGGAAGACTAGAAATCATAATTCCAGCTTTTTATGCAAACACATTTGAAGTGTACCTTAGCGCGTAAAATCATGGGAATAATTCTCCACAACTTTCAGGCAATCTCTCAAAGGTCAACCCAGCGGACTGTGCACCTCAAGCCCCTCCCCTCCTCCCTCTCCATTGCCTTTATTCTTGCAGCAGTAGGAAAGTCACCTGCTTTCAAAATACCATCTTGGTTTACAGTGCCGAAGTGCTAGACGCTACACCACAACGACTGCATCCTAATGTGAATGAAGAGAGCCTGAAATTACGCATAAATTTTATTGCTGAACAGATAAGTAAGCCATTGAAGTGAATAAGGCGCGTTTAAGAGTAAAGAATGAGTGAGGGAGGCCTTTACCTATTTAAATGCGCAAAAGATCAAAATAGATACGTACGGGAGGCATTTTAAAGACAAATGGAAAATAAATCTAGCGTCGCCGTTGTCGAATAGGTACTTCACAAACAATATGTGAGACTTTATTATTGAAGAATAACTAGTTCCAATCGATTAGCGATGAATGCAAAATGATTAAACTATTCATTTTTCCAAATGAAAACGAAAATGTGTTTACATAGATACATACATACACATGTAAGAAAATATATTTGGTCAGTGGGTGCCAGAAAAGAGGCAAAAGAAACAAAAAAA